CGTTGCCACCCTCTTTTATATACCAGACTACCCTATATCTAGTAAATACTAGAGCATTCGCCAAGGTACAGGATAGTTCTAGAAAATAGGTGGCGCCACACCAGTCACGTGACCTCAGTGACGCAACAATATCAAGACACAGAGCAGTGTATCGTGCTGCCAAAACAACCTGCTGCAGGACACGCTGTGTGTTATTAACAGGAGTGATAGTTTAGCGATTTTCCACCTTCTGTATCTCGGACTGAGTTAACCCAAACTATTACATATTTTCAGTGGATGTTCTCTACTGGACTCTTACTTCACATAACAAATTTCAAGGCAGTCCATTAAGAAATACACGAGATATAAAACCTTCAATTTTGATTGAGTTTCTTCCTATTTTTTTTCTTCGCACCAAAAGTATGGAAAATGTATTTGAGCGAAACACATACTTAACTTTTATGGACTTGTTTTCAAATTTGGTACACTAATAGATATTTATAGCCAGCAATTAGGGATTCTCATATGGTATAAATATAAGCCACATGTGCAAAGTTATTCAACAAAAACGCTCAACGTTTTGAGCATGCCTACGCAAAAAGACACGTGAGCTATCGGTATAAAATTTTTACTACAGCTTCACCTAAGAGTGAAAATGGGCCGTTTTGAGTTTTTGTCATTCGAATTAAATACGGCTGATTTAGAGCAGCAAACTAGAAGGTGAAAGAACGTTCAGATACATAACTATTTGTTAGGCTAAGCAAACTAGATTAGCAGTTTTGAGCTCAAGTTTTCAAAATAATCATACGGATGGACGGTTATTATTGATTATTCACTACCAACTTTTCCGCACAAATTTACAAAATTTTATGAAATTCTCATAATTAAAGTGGGTTTAGCGTCACTTGATATTAGCTTAAGCAGTTAGCATAAGTAATGATACTTGATACGGCTGTACCGATTTCATAGGGGTGATGACAAGAATCTGTTAATCTAAATTCCATGGCGTTAATATAAAGGAAACTATGAACATTGTTTGAGAGGGGAAAAGTACCACCATATATTATAAAGAATCTGGTTGGTTCTGTAAATTAAAGATCTCTTCCAAATAATAGGATTGCGATCCTAAAGCTAATGTGGGTTACTATCAAGTGTCACTTTCTTACTTGCTGTGGTTTGTTGGTGTGTTGATAAACAGTCATGATATGTAACCACAAACACCTTAGGTATGAAATAAAGGTGCGGACCAAAAATAATTGAGTGTGCGACTTAAAGGAATGAAATCAAAATTGGCGGCTAAACTAGCAGCTACACTTATAGTATTGATAAGAATTTTACAGCAAATATGCATTTATTAGTTAGCCAGGCCGCGTTTTTTGTTCAAATTTGGGGATGATGTTGGGTAAAACAAAATATTTTAACCTATAATATGAAAATTATATCATTTTCTCATCAACTATGTTCATATATTTGTAGAGGTTTCTTTTGGTGGATTTAAAAAATCCTGGTTGCGAGTCTGCTTGCAAGCCCGATAATGGGTGAATGAAAAGTAAGTAATATACGTAAAGTAGCAGGAAAAAGTTATCTGAAGGAATTTATACACAGTGGTAGTTTTTCTGTTTCTCATAGTAAGCCCATAACTATGAAGAGAACGATATATAAGGGGTTATGCCTTACATTTTTAGGACTATTTCAATTTTTCAAAATTTACACAAAGGAAGATATGAGAAAATTCTATAATGAATATATTAAACATTACATCTACCAACCGTCAATTTTATTTTTTCGCAGGTATTATGTTGCTCTTCAGTAATCATGTTTGTTTTGCAATCACTTCGTGCTCTTTAGACTCGAATACTGAAATACCCACATTTGCAGGTTATGGCCTCCTTTTACAAGTTTTGGCTACGGTTATGATAATGATAGCACTTTAAATTTATTTTTCCAATATTACCATACTAATACGATTACTTGCGACATTCAAAAACACAAATCATCCAATTAAAATCGTAAAAATAATTTGAGATTTTATTAGCATGATCATGTAAAAAATACACAAGAAAGGCAATATGTGTTGCAATATTCATCAAGTAATCAAAACTAAAGTATTAATATAAAGAAAACGCCATATTTAAAATTAGCATATCTTTAAAGCTACTTATCCTAAGAAAACAACATTACATTATGAATTGTAAGTTTGATTAAGAAAAGTTTGGGCACAGTACAGGTTGCTTCGAAATGAAATCAGTTTTTAAATCTAAATCGCTTCCTTTTCTAAAAATTAGTATTGTTTTTATTTATCTTGTTTCAATAATACAAGTACAAAATTGACGAATTTCATAAAAATGCGGGTCAGTGTATGGGATACTGAAAATCAATGAACTCTGAGAATATGAGAATATCAGAAAATGTACTTAAAACCTTTTGTGATAGATTTTAAAACACCATGTAACATGTCCAAACTTTCCTGAATAAATCTTATGATTCTTAAGGTGCTTCTGGTAAAAGTAGTTTTAAAAAACTAATCATTTTAAATCTTGGCTTCTTTATATTCGCCTGTATATGCTGAAAAACTTAATGACTTTTAACCTTTTCGAATAAATGAGTAAGTTAAAAAACTGAAGGAAATAATTATCTTTAACAGTATAGGGCTTTTGCACTTAACATTTAGACAGGAAAGTTACAAGTAATCAATGTACTGAAAAGTTTGGGGAAGGAAAACTGTATTAACTACACTCTCGAACTATGTAAATATTAATAGACTCAATGAGCTCCAATTATCATTAGGGCAGGTGAAAGACTTCTTGTAACGAGAGAATGTATATGTATTTTGCTTGTGTGCAATTAAATATAATAATTAATCACCCAACTTATTTTCTTTAAAGAAACAGGTAACTTCACATATCAAACATAATTGTTCCTCCCGTTCTTGTCTGTATTTAAAAAAAAGTGGAATATAGTAAAATATTTTGTTGAAATAGGTCTAATGTCTAAATATGTGAAAATGTAAAGTATTTTGTTGAAATATGTGAAAATGTAAAGTATTTTGTTGAAATATGTGAAAATGTAAAGTATTTTGTTGAAATATGTGAAAATGTAAAGTATTTTGTTGAAATATGTGAAAATGTAAAGTATTTTGTTGAAATATGTGAAAATGAGAATCTTCTAACACTTGATAGAATAGCATATTTGTAATTATCTATACAGTTTTCCAAATAAACGGTTTATAAATTTGCTTTTCATGTTATTTTATTAAATGGCATTTTATTACCAAATATTTTTCATAATTAAATAAGATGGTATACTTACAAATTACACTAATATTATAGTAAGAAGTGGAAGTTTAAATTACAGTGTGAATCCTAATTAACTCCCATACTTATCATTTAGAATTACTTTGATTGCCCCCCCCCCCATAACAGTATATACATTAAGCTTCTATAACACCAAAGTTGGGAGTTCAGTCCTTACAGTTGGTACAACACAGACCGCTCACTGTGTAGCTCTGTGTTTAACAACAAACAAACGTACTTTCTTGAAACATAAGGGGCGGTGATCGATGTTGTCAAGAGTTGTTTCCACGTAAAATAAATTATCTACAATTATTTATAGCTTCTTTTATCCCAAAATGTAATTAATCGAAGTCTTTTTTATTTTTTCAGAGCGTGCCAGCTCAAAGGACAAAAAAGATCTGTTAAAAGAACTCAAGATTATGCAAGAGCTTGGACGTCACCCAAATGTTGTTACTTTACTGGGTTGTTGTACAGAGCAAGGTGAGTCTTGTTATCATTACTTACCTAAGTATCTAATACTAAAATAACGATTTGAGTAATGCCACTTTTTTATCATAACTAAAAATCTGAGACAAGGAACATCATTATTGCATCATGAATCACGAATTTTTGTCTCTTAATTATATATCTTTGTTTTGACCGAAAGTTCCCTCGAACAATAAAGGCAGTTTGTATGTTATCAGCTCTCTCGTATGGCCAGGTGGTTAGGACGATTGACTCGCAATTTGAGGGTCGCGGGTTCGAATCCCCGTCCCACCAAACATGCTCGCCCTTGCAGCCGTGGGGACGTTGTAAGTGACGGCCAATCCCACTATTCGT